TCAGATTCAACGAACACGTGAGCATTACGACTGCCAAAGCTTTTTCTGTGCTGGGATTCATACGTCGCCACGCTTCTGAGTTCACCGCTGTAAAAATACTCTGCTGCTGGTTGGTTCGTAGTATTCTGGAGTACGCAGCTCCGATTTGGTCCCCTTATAAAGTAGCGCATGTTCTCGTGATAGAACGAATACAGAAACGATTCTTACGTTTTGCACTTAGACAACTTCCCTGGAACGATCCGACCCATCTTCCTCCTTATGCCGACCGATGCATGCTGATAGGATTGGAGCCACTATCTGTCAAACGAGTAACGATGCAGCGGCCATTTGTCTTCGATGTCATTGGAGGATCTATCGACTGGCCTGAACTTCTCGCACAGATTCCGCTAAAAATTCCTTCTCGGTGGTTTCGGAACTCAGCTTTAATAGCAGTCCCATACCATATAACAAACTACGATAACAGCAACCCTTTCGATACGTGTCTTCGCTTGTTCAATGTTGACTGCACACTTAGAAATTACTAATTTTACACGTAACGGAATCCATCTTTGACATAAAAGATGAGACGTAAACAAACATCTCATTTAATATTAAGTGCTCCGAGACTGAAAAGCCGTTGCTCGGCGAAAAGTACGTTTGATTGAGCTATATTTCACGTCGGTTATGACTCAAATTGATGTCAAAATTGACGCTTGTGTATGTCACCCTCAGAGCACCTAAATTTACATGATTTTTTCTAAGTGTGTGTGTGATGAATTTAATTTAACTTGACTTAAAACGTTTTTAGAAATACACACTTAGAAATACATAATTTTACACGTGACGGAATCCATCTTTGACATAAAGGATGAGACGTAAACAAACATCCCAAGTAACAATTCAGTGACCATTTAGCATCCACTCTGATTTATGATGGTTTTATAACGGCAATGAACAATCTATTTAGTTTAAATATAGCATTTCAAAGTGTAAAACATTCCTGCTTAGTAATTCAGCTTTTTAATGTTTTAAAAAACTGTCTTTTTTATCAATCCCTCCTTAAAACTGTTCTGTAATTCAAGCATAAACGTCATTAGCAATTGTTTATTAATGTCTTGATAAAAAAAAAACTTTATAAATGTGTTCTATCTTTATAAAAGCAACCATAAAACCATTAGGTTTTGCATTAGAGCAAAAAGCATTTATTGTTGCTTTTTTGGCTTTTTAAAGTGCATCATGAACTCCCCAACTACTCTGTTTACAAATTGAGCTTAAAATATGGTTCCTCATAGTTAATAAATGCCAAATTTATGACAAGGAAATCTCGAAGGATAGACGAAGTAGGATGAAAAATTCAAGCCGATTTCAGCAAAATTTACTTCTTTAGAAGAACCAGCACACCATCAACGACTGACCATCTGGCGGAGAAGAGTAAAGTGAGCGGGGCCCTCGAATTCATAAAACATTGTCGAATGTTTAAAAACATACCAGCCTTCTCCAGATCTTGCGAATAGATGATAATCGAAATAAAAACCGACAGCAAACCACTGAAACTGTTAGTTAGTGGAGATTAGCTGGTTTCCGATCCATAGCAGCGATTTTATTCGGCTAAAGAATCAATTCTTCGAAAATTTCATTCAAGCGTACATCCCTGCATCGTTGGAAGGTGCACTTCTGTAACCATCCGGAAGAAGGGGATCTTTTTCGGGAACGATTGCGCTTCCAGCTGTTGTAAAACAGTATCGCAAACTATCTGAGTAACTGCTCCTAATCCATCGGGAGAAAACCACCTGGAAAAATCCTGGATCTCACAGCGCAACTATCGAAAGATAAACAAACTTTGACGTTTAACTTTTTGCAGGCAACTTTGCCTCCATAAATGCTGCCATAAATCTGAACGGGTTAGGATCAAGCAAAATGGCTTTAGATAAATACAATTCAGCCTGCAAGTTTTCTTCATAAAAGCCATTTTAAAACCTTATTAATTTGTTAAGGAATTCTTGAATGCAAAACAACTTTTTCACAAATGACTCATGAAAATCAACGTTTATGCCACCGCCATGTTACAATTAGATTGCTTGTTCATTAATATTTCCTTAGATATAACTATATTTTGGTAAATTTAGCAATGAGCAAACATTTAAATGCAAAAATAAAAAAAAAACTTTGCCAAGCTCGATCTGAAGAATATATTTTTTTTTTCACTGTTAAATAATTAGTCAAGTCGACGTTTTACGAGGGTGGACTTAATTTTTTCGATGTTTTCACGTACATTTCACATAAAATTTAATATGGCACTTAAAACTAGGCCACTTATGAGAACTATTGTAATAAATTTGGATATTCAACAATATTTTTATACCATCAGTTTCTATTTTAATTATGTTGATAAGATCGGATTCATAAATCCTTTGCTATCTTGATTGATGCTTTCCTAGTGGATTCAGCATGCGGCTAGGGAAAATGGCTCGGAAAGGGTTTTTATTGTCGCTAAATAGCTTTTATTGCAGCTTTCAAATGGTTCTCAATGCGTTCGTCATACAACCTTTTGCAGTAAATCAACCTTGAAGAGCTTCGAGAATACACCCTTCAGAACCTTCTCCAGGGTGGACCAACTAGACATATTCTAGTCTTAATGAGGTTTTGGTGGATGCATTAATGACAAAATAGCCTTGACCAGGGTTTTATGAATGTTGTTTTATAGTTGCTTTGTAGCATTTCATTAAATTTAAAATTTTACTTGTTAAATATGTCATGTAAATATGTAAATAAATGTTACTTGTTAAATATGTCATGTAAAATTATGTGCTCCGAGACTGAAAAGTTCGAAAGTACGTTTGATTGAGTTGAATTTGGCGTTTGTTATGATTTAATTTTATGTCAAAATTGACGCTCTTTTATGTCAGTCTCAGAGCACCTAAATTCACATGATTTTTTTTCTAAGTGTGTAGTTTATAAGTAGAAAAGTTCAGTCTGTACGTCGAAGACGGTGAAAAATAAAATATAGTAAAAATTCCTTCCTTACTCCCGCCTGATTGCAACCCAAGCAACACAAGTCCATCATAATAAGTTGCTTCAACTTGATTGTGACTGAAATAAGTCACATACTAGTAACCACAACTATTCAGTGACAAGTGTGCTGCTAGGGAAGGACGTGGCTGGCGCTGAGACTTGTACAATGAGAATTGCCGGTAGCTCCATGCAGTTGATTCATTGCGAAATTTAACTGATTATGATCAATTACGGAGTAGCAGAAATTGGTATGTGCAGTCAGTCCAAGTTAAGCTAGACATGTTTTCGATCCAAAGAATTTTAATCGCAGCCGGGGATGGAGGGACGAGCTTGGGGTCTCGCCCGTAATCCCGCACAACTTAATTCATGCTTTTTGCCCCTTTAATGTTTATAGACTTCTTGGTCCGTGTCTCGAAAGTTCTGAATATCATGGTAACTACCCAAGTAACCAAAAGTTCTGTTAAAAGGCTATTTGTGGCTTAAGCAGCTTGGTTGAAGGTGGTCTATAGAATTCTAAGCAGCATCATTTTTAAGTCGTTATAAGAACATGAAAGTTTCGGTACCATAATTGAAGAGCATTCTAAGCAGCCCCAGCACGAACCGCTACGTCATCTGAGATATATTAAGGTGAGCTGTTGTCCCGCCTACTGTTGGAGTTTTCAGTACCAGCCAACTTACTTGAATACGAAACGCAATACCTTGATGTATTTTAAATTGGTGCGGCAAGGTATTCCAACACACTTGTGGCGCAGTAATTAGCATCCGTAGATCGCATGCCGAATATACGGGTTCGAATGCAGGAAATTGCTCTTTTTTATGTTTGGATAGAATATTGATGCACTGCATAAATATAAGAATTATGCTTCCATAATAGCTCTGTCGGCCAGTTTGGGTTAGAGGGAATACACACACACACACACACACACACATACACGCACTGCATAAATATAAGAATTATGATTTATTTTAGCCACTGATTATTTCATATTTACGTACATTAAATTTTGTTACTAATAAAGACTTGTGTGGATTGTTTCATGTGGGCAATGACTTTCAAATTGCTAAGAAGTTCCGCAGGGAACTTTTAAAGTATCTTGGGGGGGGGGGGGGGTCTTGTTTGGAACTTGGACCATGTTTTCAGCTTTGCCCGAAGTTCATAAGAAGTGCTTAGGGATGCTTTTTGGAACTTTTTTTGAACTTCAAGTTGCTAGGAGTACGCATCGGAACTTTATGGAACTTGAAAGTGGGTTTTATCATTGAATGTGGAACTTTGGGTTGCTCGGGAAGAAAGTGCTGTCGGAACTTTATTTGAACTTTATGGAACTTGAAAGTTCTGTTGGAACTTTATTTGAACATTATGGAGCTTGAAAGTTCTGTCATAACTTCATTCGAACTTTATGGAACTTGAAGGGTCGGAACTTTATATGAACTTTATAGAACTTGGAAGTGAGTTTTGTCGCTGAATGCGGAACTTTTGGTGACTTGGGCAGATAGCGTTAGACGGCGGAATCAAGAAGGCTAGCGCTGCCTTTGCGAGTTTACAAAATGTTTGGAGATCAAGCTGTATTTTAATTTCAGACATAAAATCAGTTAAATGATTGTTTGGTGACCTCACAACAGGAACTAGAATGCTGAGCTCCATTGTCATTAGAAACTTTTATCAACAGATATTCGAGAACGATAGTCCCCACCTCGTCACACAAAAGGGTGGAAACGAAAATCCTAAGAAAACTTTCAATTGGTATCCTTCGCGACATCGTAGCAGAAGCAGACCCAAGGGCTTACTCCTCAAAAAAATCAAGCAATTTGACAGAATTTTGACCTGGGCAAGGCAAAAGCAAGCCAGGATGAAAATCTTTCAAGAAGGGGCTCAGGGTAGTAAAATGAGTGAATGGAAATGTATTCAATATCAAACGGTGAATAATAAACTGAAACATATTGTGATCCATCATGCTTGATACAAATGCATGAAAATCGGCATTAAAAAAAAACAATCCCCTTATACTTACATATTTTAGGATTCATTGTAGGCGGCACAAAAGCAGACATCTGCAGGAAAGCCGCAATCAGCATCACGGTTCCGAACGTATTGGCAAAGATTCTCAGTATCCCATCCAACCAAAACGACACCAAAATCATCACGTTGGACGCTAGAAGCAGATAATGTGGTTGAATAATATTTGCATTAAAAGTAGAAATCAAATTATCCTTACTAAAGTACGGAGCATACAAAATCGTATCGTAAAACTCGTTGTTCCGCCGCAGGTGCAGCCTTAGAATCGATTCCATCCGCGGATTGCCATCCTTCAGCACAAACAACTCGTGCGTGTTTTCATGTTGATGCTTGGTAATCTTCTCCACATTCCAGTCCGATTGGATAATGTTCGGGTGGAAGTTCTGAAATGAACTCATCAGCTAATATCTCATTGACGGGAACGTCAAAATGTGTAAATCTCACCACCGCATCGGGCATCAGCTTCAGTGGCGTCGTGACGTGCTCGGTGGCCATGGCCAGGTCACATTCGTTGGTCTCGTGTGGCCATTCGGGCGAGTCCCGCAAAGCGCAGTAGGTATCCGTGGTGATTTCCTTCGATAGCCACTCGAAAGAACCGTCGTGGGTGAACGAAACGTGATCCAGACCGAACATTTCATTCACCGTCAATTCGGCGTCACTGATTGGGAAAAGATGATTTTTATAAATTTGTAGTTTTTTTTTTTGTATGGAGCATTTGAAAACCTACTCCCTCACATAGACGCTAGGAGTCCAGGTGAGAAACTGAAAACCGACAATTCTGGTGATGTTGCCATGCTCTTCCGGTATCCAGGAGGTCCGATTATCACGCCAGGCTCCCCGAAGGAAGAACCTAGTTTGAAGCGTGTTCTTCCAGGAGTCGTATGCCACTCGAGTGAAAACCAGCTGCTTTATCTCGATCGGTGTGAACCACTCGGGAGGCCTAAAGGTCGAATTCATCTCCAGCTCAAACATCAACTGCTCCCTCGGTGTCAAGAGCTTGATCGATTCGAATTCTTCCAACTGAGTTACTGAACAACACTATTAGCTATCTACCTTCACCTGCAAACATAACTTGAGCACTTACGGGAATCATCATCCGAGGCACAATCGTAGAACCATTTGGCGTGAGTCGAACCCCAGGAGCTGAAACTCAAATACTGAACCGCGATCAGGTTCTTATCGGTAGCGGACATCAGCGGCAGCTCCTGACCTTCGATACCAACCTCGATCAAGCCTTCCCTGGTAATGCGAATTCGCAATGGCAAAGGATCGATCGGTGATAGCACGTTCTTCGTACTTTTCGTTTTAAGTGGATTTTTCTTGCGCTGTTTTCTTATCTCGCTGAATGTGTTTGCCCCAGCGCCGATAACTAGTAAGGCGAGAACGAGCGAGAACGCAAAAAATGCACATGGCACCACGAGATGTGTTAAAATGTTATAGGGGAAATGTCTCTAATGTTGGCCTATGGATCTAAGATTGGGCCCATCACTAAAAAACTGCTATTTATCAATTTTATCTAGATGAACGCGTTATTGGGACGTTACTAATTGATATTTTTGGTTGCTATTGAAAATTTAGTTGATTGCTGAATTTATGTATGGGCCCAAATTAGGGACACTTAGGCCGACATTACCTGCATTTCCCCTATATATCTTAGATACCAACCTATTTCATAGACCTGAGCATCCGGGCTGGTAGAATTGGTATCGGACAGGAGAATGTGAGCATCTTTTGCGGCCACCACAAACAGACGCAGATTGACGAGTGTTTCGTTGTCCAGGTTGTGATTGTCTAGTTCCTCCAGCTTGAAATAGGTGTGGTAGTTGTAGCCACTTATTGCGTTGAACTGCTTGCACTTGTCTAAATCTAAATTTCCACCGATAGAAATGTCTATTAAAACCTGATCCACGTGGAATCGACTTCTCCAAACCAACCTGCATAGGTGACGTTGTATTTGCTTTCCGTCGAACCAAACTGGAAAAATCCTACCGTTAGAAAAATGGCCGTGAAGAACCACATAATTGGATCATGCAAGGAAACGACGGCTTCCGGAGCTTGTACATAGAAGTTGTATTCGAATTGAAGTGCGATATAAGACTGAGAACGTTTTCTCGATCTCTACGTTGGCTGGAGGATGCTGAGGTCAGTTTTCGAGAGACTTTGATAAGAAATTCCCCTTTGGCTGCTACAGTGGAACGTCGCTTTAGAATAGCTTTGGCATCATTATTTTGAGTTGAGATAAATAACAAGAAATACACACTGTTCACAAGGCTGTGTCACTTAACCATACTGTATATAATCTTGACCATTAAAGCATAGCGTTCTTCTCCGTAGAATGGAGTGGTTTTTCCGTTTTAACAATTAGGCCATTGGATTTCAATCGTTGGTTAAAGCACAGGCAAACAGACAGAACACTCACAAGTTGTTCATCGAACAAGCATTTAACGGTCAATTTAAAAGTATCTCAGTTGGTAGTACTGCCACCTGTGGCGCGCATAGTCAATTCCCTTGCGTTTGACGTTTACACACTACCGCCATCTGCTCAGCATACTACCCAACACAGTGTACTCAACAGATGGCGGTAATGTTTTAGCGACGATGTTTTACAATAAAAAATATTCAATGTGTTATGTCTGTTTGTCTCTGGTTAAAGGGTTTCATTCATTAATTTTGATTTGATTTTTTTAATGGTTCACATATTTCTTACAAGTCACGTTGTGTATGGTAGATCAATATTATAGCCAAAAATAATCTGCGCTGAATCCATCACTATTTGAAAATAAACCTTTTTACAAGGGGTGTTCAACCATAGAGGTAACTCTAAGACCACTGGGTCCCGAAGAAAATCATTATTATTTTTGGCTCACTCAGTACCAGAACAACGGTCCCAAGCAGTCCCAAGCTATTTCACTCACCCCTGCATGTTCTGCATGAATCCACACACCCCTGATGTTATCTGTCAAACTTTCATAGCGAATCAAAACAAACATAGTGTAGTAATAGAATTTCAACTAGAATAGGGTACGTTAATCGTTTGCTTGGGACCAATAGGCTACTAAAGTGGTGAACCAATTTAAAATCGTTAGTTTCGTATTGATTGTTGGTTCAACTCTGCACATCTCAATCTGTGCCGAAACCCTTATCTGCGCCAAGCGTTGTGCCGAAGTGTGGCAATCAAGGTTTCAATCACAGTATCCCATGAGTTTGGCAACCCTGCAGTTTTGACTTTATATATATCGTTCCAATATTAAACGACCTATTTGAGTTCATATGGAATACGAGTGCAAGTCCTGTTGAAAGTAAAATGAGCATAAAATAACAAGCGTGCGTCATTCCTTTCTCTTGGTTCGACGATGCCAAACGAATGTTTCATGAAGGAACGACAAAATCGGTCACAGCAAAAAATACAGCAAGGATTACGAGTTCAAGTACCACCACGCAAGCATCATCACAAGCACAGATTCTGATTTTTGATTCATCTCGGAAAAGGCAGAAGTAGAAAAACTATCATTCGACTCCGGTAAAAAACACGAATGACGATGCCACTTATTTCAAGATTTTTAGGCTATTAGTACGGCCTCCAGAACTGAACAAAATCAGGCTAGAGAGTGCGTCCCATACAGTTCATGGAGAGGACCCACCTTCAGCTGCTGCTCGATTTAGTTGTCGGCCATACGTCGCATATCCTCAGCAATTTTACCTATCAATTCTCCTCGTTAGGTGTTTCAGGGACTGCAGGCATAAATTTCATACTCTAGCTCCAACTGTTTTCAAAATGCGCCTAAAATATAGTTTGTATATTATACTTCGTATTTTTTTTAAATATAGCAGCACTTTTGACCTCATCCCATACCTTTTTAATTCTAGAAACTAGCTTGATACATCTCTGTGCGTCTATGATTTCTATATGGGGGTACACTTTGTGAAAAACGAAAATAGAACATGTAACAAAATTATGAAAGATTTTGAACATTAATAACTGAGCTGTCCCCTGACCAATTTCAGTCATTTTATCACCAATCGATCAGAAATATTTCTACGCATCAATAGCAATGCTTCCGACTGATGATTTTTTAACAAGATACTATTTAAAAAATGATAATGTCAAGCATTGACCAACGTACAAATAAAAAGTGATAATTTTACCACTGCTTTCATGAAATAAACGTTCTTGCCAAACCTAGTCGTCATAATCGAGTACCAGTTGGTTGCACATCATTCTACTTTAACCTGAAAAGATATAAAAGAGCGCTGTTGTCTAGCCTCAACTCATTTTCGCTTCGGACGGCTTGGTGAGCAGGCAGCAGAATCAGCAATAGCAACAGTAGGAAAGTGGTGGCAGGTTAGGTAGTCCACTCTTCTACCTAACAAGCAACAATGACTGGTCGTGACAAAGGAGGAAAAGGTCTTGGTAAAGGAGGCGCCAAGCGTCATCGCAAGTTCTTCGTGATAACTGCCATCCGTATGGCAGTTCTCCGGTTTGATCTACGAGGTGTGCTGAAGATGTTCCTGGAAAATGAGATCCGTGATGCTGTCACCTACACTGAACACGCCAAGCTTAAGTGGCCATGGATGTCATCTACGCTTTGAAGCGACAGAGACGCACCCTGTACGGTTTTGGAGGTTAAATCATCACCAGCTTTGGTAACAAAACGGCCTTCTTCAGGGCCAACAAGCTTATTACAGTAAAGAGTTTGAATGTAATTTATCTGTGCCTGTTTGTGCATATTCAGAACCACCCACCCCCAACGACCACAAAAAATGCTCTCCAGAGTTGTAACAGCGTTTCATGTCCTTGACTACGAAAGTGATCCCGTTGGCTTCGTACTACTCCAGGACAACATTTGAATAGTGGCACGACGCTAGATCCGGCCAGAAGATCGTAGGGCCCTCGTGTAGCTTCAACAGAGGAAGCAGACGCATCTGTAGACAGTCGTTGAGGTAGATCTCCCCGTTTACAGTTCCGGTAGTGACGAATGGCGTACTCCGCTTGCCACATGAGCAGATCGCTTTTCAAATAATGTATTTATTGGCAAACTTTGAAAGTTTCTGCTTTCTTACTTCCTCCGGAACATCAAACTTGTGCTGGGCGGTGATGAACAGTAGCCCCGGAAGCTGCCAGAAGTCCGCCTTGACGTAAGTCTCATCATCCATAATGAGACAATTGTTGTATCGAATGCCTGTGGGTACGGTTTAGGAGGAGTCATAGCGCACGTTGTCGATAAAGAAGAAAAGCCAATAAGCTTCACTTCATTTTCGCTTACTGATGCGCAGAAATCGTATCCAATTTTGCATTTAGAGGCACTTGCAGTGGTTAGTACGATAAAAAAGTTCCATAAGTTTTTGTATGGGACGAGATTTTCCAATTTACACTGACCACAAGTATTTTTGGAAAGGATGGCAAGAATTTAATTTTTTTGACGCGTTTGCAAAGATACATTTTGGAGTTTTCAATCTACGATTTTGATATCATCTATCGACCGTCATCAAAAATGGGTAATGCTAATTACTGTTCTCATTTTCTGTTACCGCAAGAAGTTCCACGTGCTTTACAAAGGGAATATATCAAAACAATCAATATCTCTGGTGAATTACCAGTGGACTATACAAGGATTGCGAAGGAAACACAAAACGACGGGTTTCTTCAACAAGTTTTGTCATTTATGAAGAACGGTTGACCTAATAAACTTCATAGGAGTTTTAGGGATGTTTTCTGCGCCATCAAGATTTAGAAGAGCTTGATTGATGTTTGATATTCCAGGATCGTATAGTCAAACCTGCAAAGCTTCAGGATTTAGTTTTAAAACTGCTTCACAGAAATCATTCCGGAATCAGAAAATTTAAGCAGCTAGCCAGATGGTCGGTGTACTGGTTTGGAATAAACAGTGATATTAAAAATTTTGTTAAACATTGCAGAGTTTGTAGCCAAATGTCTGTTGTTCCCAAAAAATCAACGCAAACTACGAGTTGGATTCAAACCAGCCGCCCATTCAGTAGGATTCATGCAGATTTTTTTCTATTTTCAGCAAAAGGTTTTTCTTGTCATAGTTGACAGTTATTCGAGGTGGTTAGAAGTCGATTACATGAAACACGGTACGGATTCAATGAAGGTCAGAAGCAAATTTATGTTTTTTTTTTTTCAGGTTTGGTCTTCCAGATGTCATTGTGACAGATGGGGGTTCTCCGTTTAACTCCAAATATTTTGTTGACTTTTTCAGCCAACAAGGTATTCAGCTCATGAAAAGTCCACCGTATCACCCCTCCAGTAATGGCCAAGCTGAACGAATGGTTCGTGTGGTCAAGGAAGTTTTGATAAAGTTTCTGCTTGATCCTGGTGTAAAAGATATGGGTATTGAAGATCCAATTTCTTATTTCTTGTTTAATTATCGCAAAAATGGTACAGAGGACTCTAAGTTTCCTTCTGAAAAACTTTTCAATTTTCCACCGAAAACGATACTGGATCTAGTCAACCCAAAGAGTAGTTTTAAGAAGCATTTGACGACTCACAGTGGTGAGGAATTTCATAGTTTTAACCAATCTATTTCAAAAACTTTAGAGCAACTGATGTTAAAAGGTGGTTAGATGCCAAGTTCTTGAAACAAATATCTCAAAACGTGTTTCAAGTTTCAGTAGGTGGTCGGATTTATTCCGCGCATTGCGACCAACTGAAGTTGAGAACCGAACAGCCCAGAACTCTTGTTTGTGGTTGGAAGCCTGGCACTAGGAAACGACAGAGAGAAGACGACGATGAAAACGGTGATGATTCAGACACTAGCGATTTTTATGGTTTCCTTGTAGATTCCATTATTTACGATCTACAGCAGCAACCAGCATTTGAGGTCGGCAATAGTTTGTCGAATCCATCAACAAGTGGCAATAGTTTGTCGAAGCATGCATCAGGCAATAGTTTGCCTGCTATCGACAATGCGTCGAGTAGCAATAGTTTGTTACCTTCATCTGGTAGTTCAATGCTGTTGAGGACAAACAATCGTAATCAAAGAGGTTCCACTGAAGATGGTGCGTTCGAAGAGTCATCCAAATTTCAA